CTTCTTCTTCTTCTTCTTCTTCTTCTTCTTCTTCTTCTTCTTCTTCTTCTTCTTCTTCTTCTTCTTCTTCTTCTTCTTCTTCTTCATTGTTTCCATACTTGAGCTAAAGTAATCCTGGCTGCTGTCGCTGCATGCAATATAAATATCGTGAAGGGCGGCCTTTCCTTCTAACAAGGAACATTGTCTCTGTTTATTTAAGCTACCTGTTACCTAAATGACGTTACTCCCTTTTACTTCAGTGCAAAGGCATCTATCTGGAGGTTTTGCCAGCATGCAAACATATTTAAAGGGGAGCCTTTATGAGCCAGGTGATCGTTCACGTGCCTCTTAGAAGGTCAGATAAAAATCTCATGCTTATGAGCCTGCATATAAGAACATAACAGAAGCCAGTGTTGGATCGGGCCAGTGGCCCATCCAGCCCAACACTCTGTGTCACACCGTGGCCAGAAATATAAGACGAGCAGCTGTTTTTTGCTGTGGGATCAATGAATTCGATGTGTGTGTGTTGTCGGGACAGGCAGGCTTCGCTAAGGCCTCAGTTCCTCAGGCCCCTGTGTGTTAATACAAACGTTGTGCTACGTGTGGTCTATGTCAGGGCCAGGGTCCCCAATCTTTTTTGAGCCGGTGGGCTCCCGGACACAGGTACAAAATGGCTGCCGGGAGGGGCTCCTCTTTGGGTTTACGGCAAAGAGATCTGGGTGCCGTTCGGGGCAGCTGCCGCCCACACGACGCATTGAAAAATCGGCAGAGCCTACCCAGTCTCCAGGTCTCACTCAGAAGGCCTGCTGGGCGAAAGACTCACCCGGCCCCGCCCGGAACGAAGTTTGAGTCAAGTTTGAGTCATGATAAGTTTGGCCACCTTTGAGACCAGCAAAGCTTTATTCAAAGTGTATGGTTTCGAGGGGGAAACAGACCTCTTCAGGCAAAACGGGCCTCACCCAGTTTCTAAAGACACCTGTTGCTAGTGTTGCCGACCTCCAGGTGGGGCCTGGAGAGCTCCCCCTGTTATTTCCAGGCGGCAGAAATCTGTTCCCCTGGCTGCTTTGGAAGGTGGACTCTGTGGCATTATGCCCCACTTTCCCTATGAAGGAAGGTTAAAGCGCTTGGGGCTCTTTAGCTTGGAGAAACGACGACTGAGGGGTGACACGATCGAGGTTTACAAGATTATGCCTGGGATAGAGCAGGTCGAGGGTAGGAACTCTCGGTCTGGGGCAAGGGATGCTCTGTATTCTTGGTGCTTGCGGGGGGGGGAACAGTGGGAGGGCTTCTAGTGTCCTGGCCCTACTGGTGGACCCCCTGATGGCACTTGGTATTTTGGACCACTGTGTGACCCAGAGTGTTGGCCTGAATGGGCCATTGGCCTGATCCAACATTGGCTTCTCTTATGTTCTTATATGGAGCAGAGGTCCATCAGTGGCTATTAGCTACAAGGTATAGGTAGGAACTCTCGGTCTGGGGCAAGGGATGCTCTGTATTCTTGGTGCTTGCGGGGGGGGGCATAGTGGGAGGACTTCTAGTGTCCTGGCCCCAATGGTGGACCCCCTGATGGCACCTGGTATTTTGGACCACTGTGTGACCCAGAGTGTTGGCCTGAATGGGCCATTGGCCTGATCCAACATTGGCTTCTCTTATGTTCTTATATGGAGCAGAGGTCCATCAGTGGCTATTAGCTACAAGGTATAGGTAGGAACTCTCGGTCTGGGGCAAGGGATGCTCTGTATTCTTGGTGCTTGCGGGGGGGGCATAGTGGGAGGACTTCTAGTGTCCTGGCCCCACTGGTGGACCCCCTGATGGCACCTGGTATTTTGGACCACTGTGTGACAGACAGAGTATTGGCCTGGATGGGCCATTGGGCCTGATCCAACACTGGCTTCTCTTATGCTCTTATGTCCCTCATCAAACCCCACCCTCCCCAGGCTCCATAGCCAGAATCTCCAAGTATTTCCCAACCCGGGGCTGGCGCCTGAAAACACGTTGGGCACCCTGTTGTGGAGACCCCTGGTATACGTCGTGTCTCAGCAGGCATTGTTCCTTGTCAGAAATCGTCTTCATAAAGACAGATCCCCTTTAAGTAACCCGAGGCCCGAGATTTCTTAACCTGTCCCTTCTCCACAGGTGTGACTCACGCGGCCATCTGGGCAGCCTGCATCTCCTACCTGAGCGCGGCGGTGCCTCCCGAACTGAGAACTTCGGCTCAGGGGATCCTCCAGGGACTTCACCTGGGCTTGGGCAGAGGATGCGGAGCGATGGTTGGGGGCGTCCTGGTCAACTACTTTGGTAAGGGGCGGGGCACAGGTGTGCTCGTGCCCATGGCGGGCATGCCATTGTTCCCCACCAGAGGTGTCGGTCACATGCCAGTGTCGCTCTACTAAAGCGTTTTATACGTTCCCGAGAAAGGTTTACCTACCAAAGGGCAGGAGCTTTCTTGGCTCTCGAAGAAGGGTGTAAACATTAACCCCAAATACTCTTTATCAATTTGGAAGGGAGAAAGATTTGGGCTGTACAAGCTCAGAAGATGTGCAGGGTTTCGTAAACACCCAGGGCTTTACACTCCCTATTCCTATGCTAGATTGGTGTAGTGGTTAAGTGCACGGACTCTAATCTGGGAGAACCGGGTTTGATTCCCCACTCCTCCACTTGCAGCTGCTGGTGTGAGCTTGGGCAAACTATAGTTCCGTCAGAGCTGTCGTTGAAAAGAGCAGTTTCTGTCAGAGCTCTCTCAGCCCCCACCTCCCTCCCAGGCAGTGTTCCCTCTAAGCTGAGTTAGTGTGAGTTAGCTCACAGTGTTTTAGCCTCCAGCTCACATATTTTTGTCATAGCTCAGGAAGGATGGCTCCAGAGTAAACTAATTTATGCAGTAGCCAAATCACTTGCTCACAACATTAATGCCAGTAGCTCACAAAGTAGGATTTTTGCTCACAAGACTCCACAGCTTAGGGGGAACACTGCTCCCAGGGTATCTGTTGTGGGGAGGGGAAGGGGAAGGAGTTTGTAAGCCGCTCTGAGACACCTTTGGGTAGTGAAGGGTGGGGTATAAGTCCAATCTCTTCTCTTGTTCTTCCTTTAGATTCAGCTGGGTTGTTGTGTTGGTCTGAAGCAACAGAACCAAGTTTGAGTCAGTGGCACTTTGAAGACCAACAAACCTTGATTCTTAAAGGTGCCTCTGGACTCAAACTTTGCTCTATTTGTAGGCTATTTAGAGAGAATCCACTGAACGTGAACAAATTTAGAGTCCAGTGCAATGCTCCCTCTAAGCTGTGGGGTCTTGTGAGCAAAGATTCTACTTTGTGAGCTCCTGGCATTAAAGGCGCGAGTGAGCCGTTTGGCTACTGCATGAATTAGTTTGCTCTGGGGCCCTCCTTCCTGAGTGAAGACAAAAACGTGTGAGCTGCAGGCTAAAACATTGTGAGCTAGCTCGCACTCACTCGGCTTAGAGGGAACACTGGACTCCAGCGGCACCTTTAAGACCAACAAAAGTTTATTCACGGCATGAGCTTTCGTGTGCACACACACTTTTCCCAGTACACATTTTCAAATACATTCATTGTCTCGGAAGAAGTGCGCGTGCACACAAAAGCTCATGCCTTGAATAAACCTTTGCTGGTCTAAAGGTGCCACGGGTCTCTAAATTTGTTCTACTGCTTCAGACCAACACGGCTGACCACCTGGATCCAGGGCTATTTTTGGGCAGGAACGCACAGGAACGGAGTTCCGGCTGGCTCCCGAGTTGGCCACGCCCAGCAGGAACTCATTAGCATAATAGGCCACACCCAACATCAGAAACTCATTAGGATTGGCTACATTAGGGGTTTGTGGCCTAACATGCAAAGGGTTCCTGCTACAAAAAAAGGCCCTGGGTTTTGACAACAAACAAGGTAAACAGTATAAGAAGCAAAAGGTGGGTGTGGCTGGATGGCCACACTTCTGGTAACATGGGGGTGTGGCCTAATATGTTAATGTGCTGTGCTGTCAGGGGTGTGGCCTAATGTGCTAATGAGTTCCTGCTGTTGGGTGTAGCCTATTATGCTAATGAGTTCCTGCTGGGCTTTTTCTACAAAAAAAGCCCTGCCTGAATCTACTGCTTCACCAGTGGAACTTGGAGTACCACTTAAAGGGGCAAAAATATATGGGAGCGATAAGGACTCCTGTCGGTATTGTTGGTCTGCCAGTGCTGAGGACAAAGGCAAAAAGAATATCGGTTGTCAGCGATGGAGGGGATGAAAAATGGCTTGAATGAAGAATTTCTACTCTCCAGATGTTGTCCTGTATGTCTCTGCTTCCCGAAAAAACAGCACAACATAGTTTGACATTTAATGACAGCAGCAAGAATAACGGCATTGGGAAAAGAACATTGTCCATAGAATGAGTTATGAAATGTAAAGGAACCTGTATGGTTATTAGATTGACTACCCTAAAAAAAAAAGGGTGACGGTTTGGCTCAATTTGATTGGGCTTGGCGGTCTAGTTTGGTGTATTGGTTAGGAGCAATGTTCCATCTAAGCTGTGGAGTCCTGCGAGCAAAAATTCTACTTAGTGAGCTCCTGGCATTAAAGTTGTGAGCGAGCAATTTGGTTGCTGCATGAATTAGTTTGCTCTGGAGCCCTCCTTCCTGAGCTAAGACAAAAATCTGTGAGCCGGAGGCTAAAAAACTGTGAGCTAGCTCACACTAACTCACCTTAGAGGGAACACTGGTTAGGATCATGGTCTCTAATCTGGGAGAACTGGGTTTGATTCTCCACTCCTCCACATGCAGCTGCTGGTGTGACCTTGGGTCAGTCATAATTTCTTTCAGAGCTATTCTCTCAAGGGCAGTCCTCAAGAGAGCTCTCTCAGCCCCACCTACCTCACAGGGTGTCAGTTGTGGGAGGGGAAGGGAAAGGAGTTTGAAAGCCGCTCTGAGACATCATTGGGTAGTGAAGGCGAGGGTATAAATCCAATCTCTTCTTCCTTCTTTTTCAAAAATCGGTAGCCGTGTGTAGAACATTCTTACATATGCACCTGTCTTTCTGCTCGACGATCATGATACGTTCGGTACATTTGTTGTTTGTAATGTTTGAGCGAAAAACCATTCATAATTTTTTTAAAAAAGAA